ACGTGGAGGCCCCTGCCCGCTGCAGGGCGCTCACCCTGTGTCTGAGCCGGGTGGGCTGTGCTCCTGGGTGGGAGGGCCCCCAGCCTTGCCCATTTGTACGCGCAGCCCCAGCTTCTGGAGTCAGCTCCCTGCGCCAGGCCCGCCTGCCCTGTGGGCAAGCTGCCCCCAGGTGGGGAGTGGCCTTGGCCTCCAGGTCTGAACAGCCAGGCTTCTCTGTGGCATGGCCAACTGAGAACATTGACCTCGGTGCTTACCTACTTGCTTGCTTTTAAGAACTCAAATATTTTATTCCTTCCCTGGTAAAAGAGAGAAGATTGCTGTTGGATAAATCATTCGCCTTTCTAGTTCTAAAATAGACATATGATCTCTGAAGGTTTTTTATTCATTAAATAGTTCTTGTATGGCTACTATGGGCCACATAGTTTACTAGGTGCTGAAGGTGCACCAGGGGCCAAGAGTGGCTCTCCCCTCACTCATGGACGGGGAGGTGTTGAGCCCATAAGGATGGGCTGGGCAGCAGGCAGACCTAGTTTGACTGTGCGCCCTGCTCTGTCCCCTAACTAATGATATGACTCTTGTCTAGTTTCTTAACCTCGCCGAGCCTCAGTGTCTGCTTATTATGCAAGGAGCCGACCAGCTCAGCTGTAGGTGGGAGCCAAAGGAGACCAAGGGTAGATGTTCTGTTTCTCTGGTCTGTGGTATCCCATAAGCTGCGGTCCTCTGGGCTTCCACTTACCTTCCTGGCCTTGGAAGATGGCTCTTCTTCCCCTGCTATAGGTTAATTTAAAAGCAGCCCTGCTTAGAGGTGTGTGTGTGTGTGTGTGTGTGTGTGTGTGTGTGGATGGGTGAGTGAGCGGGTGGGAGTAAAGCAATAGGAGGCTCTGGCTGGTCATCGGGAGGATTTCATTGCAAGTCTTCTGTCTGCTCCTGACCATGAGCCAGCATCGAGCGCTCTGGGAGGCAGAGATCTGGCACAGTGCCTCCTCCTCAGATTAGGACACACTGTACGACCCCTACTCGTGACACAGTGAGATGTCCCACGTCGCAGAGAGAAAGTGAAATCAGCTGTGAAATGTGTGACACTGGAACCTTGGGTCCCTTTGGCCTTCAGCCACATACACGCTGCAAACTTTTTTCATCGGCAGAGAAACAAAGAAGCCTGAGGGTGCCCCCTGGTGGAAGTTCTCTGCAGTGTCAGACGGTGCAGGGGAAATCTGGGCTTGGGTAGCCCCAGAGGACTTTAAAGGGAGCTGGGTATGGGTCCCAGGACACACTGAACCGCCCCTCCAGTCCCCCCACACCTCGGCCCCCAGGGCTCATCCATTGTTAATGGGCTCATCTCTGAAGTCAAGATGGGAAGCCAGGCTGGGGCTCTGGGCTGGGGAGGCGGCGAGCTAAGTGGCTCCCTCTGAGCCTGCCAGCTACACAAGGACATCCCTCTCCTCAGTGCTTAGGAGACCGAGACCCAGGATGAGGTTCACCCTAAGACCCCGAGAGAGAATTAAGTCCTGGCCCGGCTGGGTTCAACCCACCAAACCTCAAAGTAACCCCTTCCCACCCCTCTCTTTTGCTACTCCCCCCCCCTTTTGTCTCTCTCAGTCTCATCTCTCCGCTGCCCCCTTTCTTTGCTCGCTCTTTCTCTGCCTCTGTCTCTCTGTTTATCTCTCTGTCTCTGCCCTTCTCTTCGTTTCTATTCCTGCTGCCTTTCCTCACCCCTCTCTTGAATGCTCCCTTCTCCTCTCTTCCCCCTCCCATCCCTTCTTCTCCCCTCCCCTTTCTGATGCTCAGCACACAGAAACTTGAGGTCACTGTGCAGGTCAAAGGCAGGGGACCTTTGGACCCAGGTCTCTTGTCTCTCAGACCAGGGCTGGTCGAGGGTCTCCTACCCTGGCATAGACTCAAGTGGTTCAAAATTCACCTGAAATTATGTGTAAAATATTATATCAGGGCCTACATGCGTGTGCTTGCACACGTGTGTTGTGTATGTATATGTGTGTATTGTGTGCACATGCATGCTCTGGGGAGAGAAACCACAGCTTCTGGAAGGTTTTAAAAAAGACTCATGACCTAAAAAATAAGGACTTCCTCTTCTAACCTGGACCTGGCTGTGCGGGGGACGCAGCTGAAGAGGGACACCATGTCTCACCCCTGGTAGATGCTGGGGTCCTTAGGGAAGTCTGAGACCGCTCCCTCGGCCTGCTGGGAGGGAGGGAAGACTTGTCTTGAGAGGGACCAAGAAGGAGCACTTTAGCCTCCTCCGGAACCCAGACTCAAAGGCCTACAGAAAAGGGGGACCTGAGGATGGGAGTTAGCTGAGCACTCCCTCCCCCTGGTCTGAGGATAGAACCCACGGGGTCCTGGCAACCCTTAGCCCAGGGACAGTGAGCACAATGACTACATCACCTAATGATCCATTTTTCTAAAGATCCATTTTTCAAACACCCCTGTTGGTCAGTTTTACAGCATTTTCACACAAAATAGGTCAATTTCAGCCTGTAATTGACACTTTGTGGCATCCCTTTCTCCTGGCTGCTTATCTCTGAGTAGTTCAAGGAATTTTTTTTGGCCCATTTATTTGACTCAAATTTTTAAAAACATTTTGTAACAAAGGCATGCTAAATTGGAAAAGAGAACAGCAAAAAGAGATATGTTTAAAAGATAAATGAGCTGAATGGCACATGAAGTACGTAAATTTGGTAAATATTTATTAGAAATGAGAACTGAAAGCAGACATGCCTGTAGGCAGATGGGTTAGAAGAGTCTGGAAATGCTCACCAGTAGGCAAAATAGCAGTTTCCACCCCTTTGTTAATTTTCCCATCCTATGCAAAGTGTTGTCAATCTGATGCTCAGGAATTACTGGCAAATGTGTCCATGCGCAGATGGATTGAGGTTAGATGAACCCAAGGTGAACAAACCCTGGGAAAGGCCCCGATTAGGGGGAGCCCCAGGAAGTATCTGGACAAGCCCTGTGGCTGAGCCCAGGGGGATCCCCTCCAAATGACCAGTGGTAACCCTGTTAAGCAGGAGGAAATAATTTCAGGCTGGAGAAAGTGAGCTGGCAGAAGTGGAATTGTTATGATGTTGGCACCACAGCCCTGCATTTTCCTTCAGGTGACACATACTCAGGTCACCCCATGGGCCCTATGCTTGGGGAACCCCTGCTCTAGGTGAGAGCAATGGCAGGCAGGTCTGCAGGCCCCCTTCCTCTGGGGAGGCCCACTTCCCTGTCAGTGACTTACCAGGTTCATTCTTTAATTTCATCTCATGAATTTCGTTTCTTGAATTATGAAACTTGGCTGAATGTAAACTCTATAAGGATGGGACTCTATCTGTCTTGTGTGCATTTTTTGCCAGTAACTAGCCCAGTGCCTGGCACAGAATAGGTGCTCAATAAACAGCCCTGGAATGAAGGGACAGAGAGAAGGCTGTGTCAGAGATGTGGTAACAGCGTGGCTCTGATCCCTGCTCTGCCACTTCCTGGTTGTGTGACCTGGGGCTGGTTACTTAACCTCTCTGAAACTCCGGTTCCTTCTACACAAAATAAAAATAATACCTCCTTCCCATATCTTGTTTTGCTTTGTTCCTGGCACATGTAAACACTTGATAAATGGGGAACTAAAGGGACTAGTGTTGGTCCACAAGGGACCCTGCAGGCCACTGCAAAGTCTTAAGACCTGGAGGTTCTTATGGGTTCCAGGATAACTTGGTGTCAAGGGGCCGTGTTCTGGAATCAGAGTTCCCATGTCTATCCCATGTGTACCGCCTGCCTGCTATGTCCTGCCACCCCTCTCAGGATCCCAATTCCCCCATCAGTAAAATGGGGAAGTTGATGATAACAGCAGTGGCTTCTCCAGGCTGCCGAAAGGGTTCAGTGAAATGATCCATATGAGATCCCCAGTGCCCAGGTAAAAGTGCTCAGTAGACGGCCGCTGTCATTATTTTTCCGGAGATCACCCGTGCCAGCACTTGTCTTCAGGAAGGCTATGCTTCCTCTTGGTCCAGAGCCACCATACCTGAGCAGCTTTTACATTGCATCAGCCTTGTACACAGGGCTCCACCTGCATCGTCTCGCTGAAGCTGTGCTGAGTCATCCTGGACAGCACACATGCTTCCAGAGTGATGGGCACCAGGAGTGCGTGAGGCTGGGGCTCGGGCTCGGGCTCATCCATAGTTTATAACTGTCTAAGCCATGACGATCGATAGTGAGAGCCAGCTGAATCACACCACTGAGGAAGGAGACTGTTTCTGAGGCCACTCTTTGCCAGCCTGAGGACAGCCAGCAACTCCACCAAGACGGCACAGGGCAGGGAGGGGCTCCTGTGGAGACTGTGTGAACCAACCGGATGACCATCCATCACCAGCCAAATGGAAGTGCCAGGAGCCCTGCCAGGAGCCTCCATCACTGTCGGGAGAAGAGGCCACAGAAGTGGAGAACACATCGCTCAGCCCGAGGGCCAACCGCTGTGTGGGGAGGGGCCGTGGGGATGTTGGAGTGGACCGCAGGTGCTGCGGCCAGGGGCACAGGAGGCCCTCTGTCACAGGCCCCTGTGGTTGGGAACTCTGCCCAACCCCAAGCTCAGCCCAACGTCAGCCTGCACAGCCGACCCCAGCAAGGCTGACCCATCGGAACAACCCCCCGGGCTCAGCAGAGTTGCTGACAGGCCAGTCCTGAACCACACTCCTCAGCAGAGAGGCGAGGTGGCGTGGTGCTTGGGAAGGAGCTTTATTTAAGATAAATGGTTTGCTCTGAAATTCTTGAGCTGCCCACCTTGGGAGCAGTCATTCCTTTCTCCACTGCTTTCCTCCACTGTGAAAGTAGAATTGGGGAAGAGGGACGTGGGACAACACTGGGCTCAGTGCTGAAGCAGCCTCTTTGAGGCCAGAGCCGTGCTTTTGGCAGCTTAGACCTGGCAAGACTCCTGTGGCCAAAGATGAAAATTTGGGATGAGTGACAGATGCACGCTTTGTGCTGGCTCATCCGTTGAAGCCAGGGGTTCTTCTTGAGTTTGGACATTCAAAAGAAAGAAAACAAAACTGACAGGTCTAGGAGATGTTTTCATGGCTATGTCCTGAGCAGGTCATTTTGGAATCCATCCCCAGGGTCTCCCCAAAGGTGGTGTGTAGCCCAAGCAATTTGGAGGAACCTCAGGACCTTGAGGGGGCAGCCGCTCTTCAGGCTGAAAAGTTAGGGAGGGGGCATGACTGGGGCCTTCCCAGGATGGAGATAAAGTGACAGAAAACTTCCTCTGAGCCGAAGAAACATGATCCAGGAGAAAGACCAAAGACGGTGACAAGGGCCCATGGGAGTGTCTGAAGAAAGCAGCACCGAGCATCCCTGGAGCCGGCGCTGGGGGCTCATGGAGCAGCCTGCACTTGAGCTGGCCTCTGGCTCCTGCTCCTGTAGGAGCCTCCACAACAAACTTGTCTCAGCCTCTCTTAGGACACACGGACACTTCACTTCCATTACTTCATCGCTCCCACATGACCCTGGACGTGTGTTCCATCCTCACTTTACTGACGAGGAAACTGGGGCTGGAAGGGGTTTGAATGTCCCAAGTCACACGAAACAAGGCAAGGCGGGCAAAGGTGACCTGACACTAAGCCCAGGACCCTTTGCTTCCTTCTAGCCTGGGCACATCCAGTGTGGCCTGGTGGCTCTGGGGACTGTGACCCAAGAGAGCAGGTCTCGAGGCGGCTGGCCGAGGCGGCTGGGTTGGTGTTTAAGAACCTATCTCTGTGCACTGGGGATTCAGTCCTCTGCTGGTGGTCNGGGCAGCTGGCCGAGGCGGCTGGGTTGGTGTTTAAGAACCTATCTCTGTGCACTGGGGATTCAGTCCTCTGCTGGTGGTCGCAGGTGGGGTCACAACTCTGGGATTGTCACAGGCACCAGCAGTGCTAGGTAATGAAGGAAACAGCCATTTCTTCTTTCTTCTGCTAACAGCTCTCAGCCCAAAACAGTGCCCATGACGACCAGGGCCTAGACGTAGTGGACAGAAAGGTCGTGATGGCGAGTCAGCCACTCCTGGCTTCATTCGTTCATCTGACAGCCATGAGCCGGTGGCTGTGCTGCCGGGGACTGGGGAGAGCATGCTGAGCCACAGCTTTTATCTTAAGTTAGGGATCCAGTGGGGACACAGCAGCTAAGATGAGGACACCTCTATGGGGCACTGGGATGCTGGGGGGCCAGGAAAGGCTTCTCAGCAGGAGAGCAGCTGGGGCTAAACCTGGTCTGGAAAACAAGGGACCGATGGGTGAGGAAGGGAGTGGCCTTCCCGACGGAGGGGCCCGGAGAGGACAGGCCTCCTGGTTGGCTTGGGGAGCATCAGGAAATGCAGTGAGCGGAGCAGAGCGGGTCCTGTAGATTTCAGACTCCCGGCCCCTGAGTTTTCACTTTTGATAGACACACCACCTCCCTCAATCCTGCTCCCTTACTGCAGCTGGAGATCGATACCACCTCCCTACCTCCCGCGGGGTGAGAGGCTGCGGCAGGGAGAGGTGGC